AGGCAAAAAAGACAGAGGGCTTTCATTCTATGCCCTCACTCCCAAACATTTACTATCTCCAAAAACATTATTTATACATATTCTTATATTAGGCAAATATTATTTTAAGAAATGAAACCTAGTTAACGTTTTATTTAATATGAACCTGTTTTTACCTTCTTTTTCAGTTTAATTTGTCCACATAACACTTTAAGCCATGCAAAGAATACATACATTTGTGACAATCTGTATAATAAATAGTCCGGTAGGTGGCTCAGATTGTTAGACTGTCCTCCTGCACAGCAAAAGGTTGCAGGTTTGATTCCCACTAAGAGTACATACCTAGGTTGCGGAGTTCGATCCCCAGTCAGGGTGCGTAATGGAGGCAACCGATCGAAGTGTCTCTCCCTCTCTCTCCCTTCCTCCCTCCAAAATTACTTGAGGCTGTTTACAAGCAAACTGTAGTCTCAGTTCAAAGTGAAGTTATTTTTTTCTGAGCAATTAGTATCATTTTTTATAAGGGTCAAGGCACCATGTGTGCAAAACATCAGTTAAAATTTAGGAATATGAATGACTTTAGTAGTGTAAAGAGGCCAATAAATGCCAGTTGTTAAACTTGTGGGCTGAAAGACAGTATGCATGTTAGGTACACCAATAAAATGCTTATTAAACTCTGACTCACTCCAAAGAGTCACAGGGAAACTATTTTTTGTTATTATCACTTGCTTTTTCATATTCAGATGAACTAGCCAAAACCCTACAGGACCCCTCATTGTTTCACACTGTACATGGCTATCAGCAGGACCCCTCATTGTTTCACACTGTACATGGCTATCAGCAGGACCCCTCATTGTTTCACACTGTACATGGCTATCAGCTAAAGAGAATTTCCATAAACATTCACCATGCAATTCCCAGGAGCTAATTCATCTTCTAAAGAGCTCCTTACCACCACTTTAATCTGATAATCCATCAGGATCACAGTACAGTATTTTATAACAGGCAATCATAATTCTTCAAAACTTCTCTATTAATATTATTTTAACAAGCAAATATTATTAAAACCCCTTTTAATTATAAAAGCAACCCCCAAATATCGTTAATAAACAGAAATAAAAGAGAGATAGTTTTTAAAAATGCTCTTAGGGATTCTCATCTATATGTAACATCATTCTCTATGGAGACCAAAGCTTTTATCAAAAAATAATGAGTCAGGTAAATAAAATCCATACCACCAGTATTTTAACATCTGCTTTTCCTTTCCTGTTTTCTTCTATTTCTAAAATAAGAACTCTCTATCCAAGGTCGAAGTTCAATAAAATAAATGTATTCTTCTTGACAGTATTAAAACAAAACAAAACTGGACAAGCATTTTTCTAATCAAAAACATTCTCTTCTCTTGGTTTTTATAACTGTTCCCACTTTCACCTTTTATTTTCTTGCTTCTTCATATGTCTATCCTTTCTTTCAACTGAGAAAATTGTAAAAACTTTAAGCAGACAAAAATGGTTACTGCCTGCCCTTCCCCTGTCTGGAGGGTCTTCCCAGTGTTTTCGGATGCTATAAAGATCTGTGCCTTTCTTTGTTTCTCTTTTGCAATTCTGTTATAGAAACAAAAGTCAACTTGTGGAGAGCTGATAGTGAGCGGAGATGCCTGGCCACAGAAATACCTGTCAGGTGAAAATGCAACTAATTACCACCCAGTAGAAGTGGCCAGTTTTGCATCTTTTAGCATTCCTCATTGCCTATTCATGTCTGTTCTCTGGAATTTCCTTTGAACTGGTTTTAATATTTTACTGGTCTTCCTGTTAACTAATGAACTAATAAAAGCTCTGACACATGTTCATTTCATGCATGTATGAGAGCCATGACTTTACCTTTTCAAAAACTCCTTTAATTATCCCATGGCTGAGCAAATATTACTCAAACTTAAGTAACAGCTCAAAAGAAATATTGCTAATTTTATCACCATTTAAACTCTCCTTGAATTACTATACATAATCCTCTTTTAAGATTTCTTTTTTTTAAATTCTTACCCGAAGATATTTTTCTATTTATCTTCAAACAAAGTGGGAGGGAGGAAGAAAGGAAAGAGAGACATAGATGTGAGAGACACATCGACTGGCCACCTCCCACAGGACCCCGACCAGGGCCGGGGACAAACCACAACTGAGGTACATGCCCTTGACTGGAATTGAACCTGTGACTCTTTGGTCCGCAGGCTGATGCTCCAACCACTGAGTCAAACCGGCCAGGACCTCTTTTAGATTTTAATACAATTTATTATCCTGACATCTTAATAATCATTAAAAAAGAGATTATTTTTCCTAAGTGACAGAGCATTGAATAGCACATATATATGAAGAGCAAAAAACTCACAGAAATAATGACTAACACTTCTTAAGCACTTGCTATGAGTGAGACATCTTTCTAAGGCACTATTCACTCACTGAATCCTCACAACGATCCTACGACACAAGTACTCCAACTAAAGCAAAGGGAAGTGAAGAAACTGCTCAAGGTCATATGGCCAATAACTGCTCGAGCTATGATTTATACTGAGAAAGTTTGTCTCCAGACTAAATCAAACTACCTCTCAGAGAAGAAAAGAGAAATTTTAAAGCACTGACCACTTTTAGTGCCATTATTCCTGGCTGTTGTTACCAACAATATCTAAGACATAAATATTATTATCCCGAAACCCATTTTTTTAAAATGATATTAGAGAGAGTTCAAGTCAAACACCTTTGTGGGTAGAAGCAATAACAGGGGAAATAAAGACAAAAGGTGAGAGGACATGAGAAGGTAAAGAGATCAAAGATGGGATGGGTTATAAGCCAAACTAAAATATAAGGAAATTCACTTTATGATAGCAAGCATCCAATTTAATACTAACTTTGATAGTTTTGTCTAACACTTGTATAAAATTCATACAATATTCTTACACTCCTGTGCCCATGTAAAATACTAGTTCTTCTTTATGAAAGAACAATCAAAAGGTCCCTCTTGCTCTACACTTCTGTTGTGGCAGAGCTTGGAATGAAATTAACTGGCTTTTCAGAGTACTGAAGCAGGCCGTAAAAGTTTTACAATCAATTGCAAAGTCTATTCATGCTTGAAACTGTGCTCAAATAAATATCTAGCAATTACCATTCCTTTCTGGACTTTCTCAATTCTTAAACTCTTAATTTATAGAGCACTGAAAACTTTAAAACAGCTTCAAAATGACCCATACTGCCAACAAGCTCCAAGATGTGACTTGGAACAGCCCAAGCTAACTAAAAGCTGCTATACCCAAGGATTTTTTTCAACACATGATAATGTCAAGACTTGATGCCTCCTTCTCAGCAAGGGGTAAACCCCAGCTGGTGAAAAAGAAGCTTACTGTTTCGATTACTAATGGTGTTCAAGTGTAAGCTTCAAATTTAAATATATAGGTTAGTGGAGAATTTTTTCCATTCCTAGAAAAACCTAAAATAAAGCTATAGTTACAGTGTTAGGAGAACAAATTTGTCACCGTCAGTAAGTTTTTATAGAGAAACACACTGTATATCACTTTATAAGTAGAATCACTAACCCAGAAAATAAGACACAATCAAAGTGGTAGAAGAACTGACTAAGATGTAAGGATAAAGGTACTAATTATAAAACTTACTGAAACACTGTTCTAGGGGTTAAAAAAAGAAAATTCTAGATTTGGTTATAAGACATCTTAAAAGATATCAGTTGCCACAATTCTAGTAAATAAGTCTAAATTAAGTATGAAGTATAGGTAAGGGTTTTAAACAAAACGAAAGACTACACTGGGCCTAATTATTCTAAAATATTTCCCAAATACCAAGCACATGGGAAATCCTTTTTTATTTCAAGTAACACCTAAATATTTAAACTTACCAACTCTAGAAAATGGATTAATTCTCTTATTTATTAAAAGTATTAGTTATTCAAACAAGTGCTGTGAAACTGTAAATTGGGGCAGCCACTATAAAAAACAGTATATGCGTTCCTATGTTTACTGCAGTGTTATTTACAATAGCCAAGATATAAAAGTAACCTATGTGTCTATGGATAGATAAGTGGATAAAGGAGTTATACATACACACACACTTACACACAAAATGGAGCCCTGGTGGGTTGCTCAGTTGACTGGAGTATCATTCATACACCAAAAAGTTATAAGGTTGCAGGTTCGATCCCTGTTGGGGCACGCACAAGAGTCAACTGATCAATGTTTCTCCCTCATATTGATGTCTCTCTCTCTCTCAAATCAATAAACATATCCTTGGGAGAGGATTTAAAAAATGGAATATTACTCAGCCATAAAAAAGAATGAATCTTGCCACCTGTGACAACATAGATGGACCTAGAGCATATTAAGCTACGCAAAAAATGTCAGACAGAGGAAGACAAATACCATATGATTTCACCTATGTGTGGAATTTAAAAACAAAATAAACAAAACAGAAACAGACACATAGATACAGAGAACAAACTGAGGGTTGTCAGAGGAAAGGAGTGGAAGTATGCACAGAAAATGCGAAGGGATTAAGAGGTACAAATTTCCAGTTATAAAATAAATAAGTCACAGGGAATACACAGAACATCATAATAACGTTACATGGTGACAGGTTACTAGGCTTGTAATGGTGATTACTTCATAAGGTGTATATAAATATCAAATCACTATGTTGTACAACTAAAACTAATATAATATTGTATGTCAAATATATTTTGATATTTTAAAGTATCAGTTATTAAAACTTTCAAGATATTTTTCTTCTTCACAAAATGTAAATTCAAAAAACTAAAGCGGTAAGTAGTTTTAGCCAAAAGTTTTAATTAATGGGAACATCAATTGGCAGCAAAGCTGACCAGGCTTCAGAAATAATAATAATAGTCTCTCATAATGAAGGTGTCTTAAATCATGCTCCCCTGATGTTTTCAGAGTTTAACTCTCTAGGTATATAAAACTTTTCACCAACTGAAAATAAAGAAAACTGAAGGAAAATAATGGTACTCACTTTTCGATCTCAATGCCAAGTGGATTAGCAGGACGCAGGGACAAGGGAGGAATTCCTTTATTCCTGTCAGTACGCATATCATAATAATTCATTTCATCAACCCACACAGCAGACTGGTCCAAAATACCTACCAAAATCAGGAGCACATCCTCAGTAAAACATAGACACCTCCAGGTACTTTCTAAGTTTTACAAATGACTTTATTTTTTAACGTTCTAAATGCATGCTAAGATAATTTTTAAGGGATTGGAGGGCACAAAAGCTCAAAATTTTTTTTTTTTAATCCTCACCCAAGGACATTTTTTCCATATTTTGTTCAGATAGAGTGGGAGTGAGAGAGAGAGAGAGAGAAACATCGACGTGAAAGGGACACATCGAGTGGCTGCCACCCACATGACCAACCAGGGCTGGAGACAAACTGCAATTGAGGTACGCGCCCTTAGCGGGAACCGAACCCGGGTCTCTCTGGACCGCAGGCCGACGCTCTAACCACTGAGCCAAACCGGCCAGGGCAAGGCTCAAAATTTTTTAAATGTCTGGCAGCTTAATTAAAAATACTAAAAGTCTATTTTTAAAAAGACAAAATTAACACCTCTTGGCTCATGGTTTCATTGCACATTACTCAATGGAGAAGACAAATTGAGCCTCTGATAAAAAGTTGTGCTAAAACAAATGCATTTTACAAAAAAACAAAAACAGTACAATTAATTTGGTAAATTCAACAAAATATCCAACAATTCCTTTTATAAAAAAATCAAACACCTTCCAAGGAACATATAGCTTGTGTAATGAAACTGACTGGTATTCAGGAAAAATGACTGGGTAGTGCCTGTGAAAAAAATACAACCTCTGAAAATAGTATCATATTCTCTGCTGGGCTCTTTTGTCATTCATCTTGGCATATAACTTACCAGTTTACCATCCGGACCTGGGATGCAAGAGAAAATAGGCAAAGTGCCAATGAGCAGAGAGGTGTTGGGGGCTGGGAAGGCTTCATGAAGGAAGGATATTTGAACTCAGGCAACTTCTAGATGTATGACCCTTTGTGATCAACCAATTTTATCAACACCCACTTTCTTTCACGATGCAACAGGAGACTGTCAGGGGTTATGCTCAAGTCCAGATACTTCTGAGTTCAGTTAGATAATCCTTTATTGACTCTACGGTGTGCTAAGCCCTGGCGGGGAAGAGGTCAGAAGTTTCCTTTATATGCTGTATAAACATGACATGAAATGATGCTGGATTCTGTCAAAATGTTTTAAGTTCCTCAAGAAAACAAGTTCCTTAATTAATTTCACAGTTGTTTTTAAAGATGTAATATAAAAATGAGTAAATAAAAATAGTAATATTGTGTATGTATGTACATATGTATGCATACACATATATATGTACATATTTAAATTCAATTTTCCCTTAAATTCCTATTTATTAAAAAAAATCTATGAATTTAAGGAAGATAATGCTGCAGAAAAGCTCTATACTCTAAGATAGAAAACAAAAAAATTTACAAAATTATTTACTTTTCTATATCAGAGAGAAGTACAGCCTGGGTTTAACTGCACCTCTGATATTCCTATATTATACAAATATTAATGAAGTACTGACCATGTGCAAGACATTACAGAACCAAAAAGACAAATCTAACATTATTCTTATTTTAGGAGTGGGGATGGCCATGCTCAGAAATAGCTATGGGAAAAATTAAAATTATTGGTCAGCAGCATGGCAGTCAAGCCAGGACCTCCAGATCTCTCCCCTTTAGGTTACAACAACTTGGACAGCTATAATTCCACAAAGGGTTCCCTACCTGACACAGAAACACGCTGCACACTGAGACACCTGGAGGCGGGTACATCTCAGCCAGCAGTGGAGACAGGAAGGGGAGGGACAAGACAGACGGGAGCCGTGGGCACTTCAGAGGCCCAGAGCAGGGAAGGGTGAAGAGCAATCACCACTGGAAGACTGGAAGGGCAGAAAAGCAATCAGGTCTCAGTGGCTGACACTAAGGCTGGGCCCAGGATCATGAGCAGAGAAACAGTACAAAAAGTCAAGGAACTCTACAGCCAGCCGGCACCAGACACAGGATTCCACAGCTGCAGGGACCCACCCACACCTGTGGCCTGGCAGGCAAAGAAAGCCTCACTTGGAAGATCACAAAGGGCTGAAAAAACTTCCAGCCTAAGTGGTCTGTACTCATTGCGGCTAAACACTCGAGGAAGAGCAGAACCTCGGACTCATGAAACCACTCCCCCCACCAAACCCTCTTGCGCCCATCTCCATGTAACCTGGTAGAGGCAGCTGGGCCAACTCAGATACAATAGCCTGCCTGGCAGCTTCTGGGTACCTGAAGACAGTGTTGAGAACATTCAGAGACCCACAGCCCACCACTTCTTAAAAAAATATATTTTTTTACTGTTTTTTTTTTGATAAAGGAAGGGAGAGGGGAAGAGAGAAAGAAACATTGAGAGTGAAACATCAATTGGCTGCCTCCTGCAGACCCCATATTGGGGATCAAGCCCATATCCTGGGCATGTGCCCCGACTAGGAATCGAACCAGGAATCTCTCAGTGCATGGGACGATGCTCGATCCACTGAGCCATACCGGCCAGGCCACAGCCCACCACTTTGCATCCACAGGAGTGGTGCCTAAAGACTCAGGTGGGGCAGGGTCACCCACCTCCTCAGAAAATACCAGGAATATTCCATGGCCCAGGCTATACTGCGCACAAAGGTCCTAGAAGCCCCAGCAGTGCAGACAAGAAAAAATGAAAACTTGTGCTTTAGCACCACCTACTGGAAAACAAAAGAAAGACATCTACTTATCAACCTGCTAAACAGGGAAAGGTCAAATAACTTAAAAAAAATTTTTCATTCCCACAAATGTGCAGGCAGAGAAACAATCCATCAAGCACAATGACTAACCAAGGGAACAAGGGAACTCAAAAAATTTTTTTTAAACTCCAGAAAATAAACTTAAGACATGAAACACTGTGATTTAAATAACAGAGAATTCAAGATTGCAGTTCTAAAAGAACTCAATGAGATACAAGAAAACTTAGAAAAGCAATTCAATAATCTCAGAAATAAAATCAATGAACAAAAGGAGTACTTCACCAAAGAGAACTAAAAAACAAAACAAATTCTGGAGCTGAAAAAAATCTTAGAAACAATGAACAATTAACTAGCAAGCTTAGGCAATAGAGCTGACCAGATAGAGGAGTGAATTACTGATATAGAAGTAGTCATCTAGAAATGACTAAGGTGGAAGAAGGAGAAACTTGGAGTAAAAAAAAAACAAACAAAAATAAACTGAAAGAATTCTAAAAGAACTATCAGGCTCTATTAGAAACAGTAATATAAGAATAAAGAATATATCAGAAGAAAAGCAAGAGGAGAAACAGAAAGCCTATTCAAACAAATAATCCATGAGAATTTCCCTATAGAAAGAACCGGATCCCTGAATCCATAAAGCTAACAGAATACCTAATTATCTCTATCCGAAAAAGCCTACTCCAAGGCACAGTATATTAAAGTTGTCAAAAACTAACAACAAAGAATTCTCATGACAGCAAGAGAAAAGAAGATGGTAACCCATAAAGAAAATCCCATAAAGATTATTATCAGATTTTTCAGAAGAAACCCTAAAGGTAGAAAATAGAGAAATCAAATATTCAAAGTGAGAAATCACAAGCCAAAAAATGTATCCAGCAGTTATGCTTTAGATATGAAGAAAAAAAATAAAGGGTTTTCCAGACATAAAGAAGCTGAGGGAACTGACCACAAGACCTGCATTACAACAAATGCTGAAAGGTAATCTACTTAAAACAAAAGGATATAAAACTATGAGCAAAATGACTAACAGACAGAAGCAGGAAATCTCAACCCTTGTTCAGAATAGGGCATTAAACACTTAAATATAACACAAAGGTAAAAGGAGACAAAAACATTAAAAGAAAAGACAATAGCTACTCCTACTTAGAAATCAATGCACAGGGATAATTTGTACAACAAAAACATAAAAGGGGTGGGGGTGGCGGAGAATGAACTTCCACAGGTAAATGGAGATAAGATGCAATCAAAGGGAAAAAACAATTGTACATATGAAACTTTTTTTTGTATAACCCTAATGGTAACCACAAAAAAGAAATCTAGAAATGAGACATATACATAAATAAGGGGGAAATGGAGGGGGGGAAAAAATCATACCACAAAATTAAAATAAAGAAAGGCAAGGGAGAAAAAGATAAAAAAAATGAAGACACAGCCACCAGAAAACAAAAGATAAAATGGCTATAGGAAATTCTCATATATCAATAATCACCATAAATATAAATGGACTTAAATCACCAATTAATACACTAAGTAGTGGGATGGATCAAAAAACAAAACCTAATTTTATGCTGTCTTTAAGAGACACATCTCAACTGCAAACACAAATACAGACTCAAAGCAAAGAGGTGTAAAATTATACTCCAAGTAAACGACATCCAGAGAAAAGTGGTGTGGGCTGTATTTTATCAGACAAACTAGGTTTCAAGATAAAAAAGAAAAAGATGAACATTTTATAATGATAGAAAAGACAATCCATCAAAAAGATGCAACATATTAAAACATAAGCACCTGCCCTGGCTGGTTTTGCTCAGTGGTTAGAGTGTGGGCCTGCAGACCAGAGAGTCCCGGGTTTGGTTCCCGCTAAGGGCATGTACCTCAGTTGCGGTTTGTCCTCGGCCCTGGTTGGGGTCGTGTGAGTGGCAACCAGTCGATGTGTCTCTCTCTCCTCGATGTTTTTCTCTCCCTCCCCCCACCCTTTCTATCTGAAGATAAATGCAAAAATGTCCTCCGGTGAGGATAAAAAAAACCCAAAAACCTATGCACCCAACCTTGGTGCACATGAAATAGAGTTTATTCTTTTTTTTTTAATCCTCACCCAACGATATTTTTTCCACTCATTTTTAGACAGAGTGGAAGTCGGGGAGGCAGAGAGGCGGGGGGACATCGATGTGAGAGACACATCAATTGGTTGCCTGTTGCACAGCACGGTCAGGCCTGCAACCAAGATACATGCCCTTGACCAGGAATCGAACCTGAGACTCTTCAGTCCACTGGCCAATGCTCTAACCGCTGAGC